GGTGTCTGTAAAAGCCGGAACCCCACCCGGAACCCTACCCGGAACACCCGGAACCCCTCTCGGAACACCCGGAACCCTCTCGGAATACCCGGAACCCTACACGGAACCCTACACGGAACCCCCGGAACCCCATCCGGAACACCCGGAACCCCACCCGGAACACGCTGGAATACGAGCTATGAAGCAACGCACGTGTTTCTCTATAAATTCACGTGTTTTGCATTAAATTCGGGGTGATAGATGGTTACGATCTTTACTTTTTACTTGTATTGTTGTTTTTTTAAATAATTTTTCTCATGGGCAAGGATAAATATATTATATTGGGCGGTACATAATATCAAATGCATGAGTATTGCTTGTTTGTAAACGTGCAAACGAAGTTTCGCTCGAGGCTTTTGCCGCATGTACTATATTTCAGTTTCGTTTTCAATATTCTGCCGTACTATGTACCTGTGACTCTATTCTAAATTTAGTTGAACAATAACCAATATTTAACTTTGCTATCTTTTTTATTATTTGAATAATATGTTTGCATATGGTTATTTGCAATTCAGCAATTGTATGAAACGGCGCCATGTAAGGAATTATAAAGTTCATCCGTATTTATTATATACAATACGAATTCTCGCGGTTTGTGGGAAATTTTTCATGGATTTCTTTACTAGACTTACTCGCTTTTCTGAACTTTGAAAGACATTTTAGTAATTTAGAGACTGTTTTGTATATGACAATGACTGCAGCCTACAGTATTAAATATTGGTTATTGTTCAACTAAATTTAGAATAGAGTCACAGGTACATAGTACGGCAGAATATTGAAAACGAAACTGAAATATAGTACATGCGGCAAAAGCCTCGAGCGAAACTTCGTTTGCACGTTTACAAACAAGCAATACTCATGCATTTGATATTCTGTACCGCCCGACATAATATATTTATCCTTGCCCATGAGAAAATTATTTAAAAAAACAACAATACAAGTAAAAAGTAAAGATCGTAACCATCCATCACCCCGAATTTAATGCGAAACACGTGAATTTATAGAGAAACACGTGCGTTGCTTCATAGCTCGTATTCCAGCGTGTTCCGGGTGGGGTTCCGGGTGTTCCGGGTGGGGTTCCGGGTGGGGTTCCGGGTGTTCCGGGTAGGGTTCCGGGTGTTCCGGGAGGGGTTCCGGGTGTTCCGGGTAGGGTTCCGGGTGTTCCGGGTGGGGTTCCGGGTGTTCCGGGTGTTCCGGGTAGGGTTCCGGGTGTTCCGGGAGGGGTTCCGGGTGTTCCGGGTGGGGTTCCGGCTTTTACAGACACCCGCTAATCACTGGCGGCACGACCGCATCGCCTTCAAAGTCAAATATCCTCCGCTCAAACTTCTCGTACGCCAAAACTAATTCGATTACATCTTTTCACAAAGATTTCTCTTTCTAAAGTAATATGGTTTGATCGTAGCTTGGGCAAATTTAGCGACGAACGGAACCAAAATCTCCTCAATTTCGGATACTGTTCAAAATACTTAGGGCTGCTCGGGCACGATCGTGGACGTGACGTAATCAATACATACTGACAATAACGCCTTACCCGGGGTGTGACAGCATATCAAATTCGACGATAAGTTTGTCGCTTTCTGCTGTCCCACCCCACGTAAGGAGGTAAGGCGTTATTGTCAGTTTGTATTGATTACGTCACGTCCACGATCGTGCCCGAGCAGCCCTAAGTATTTTGAACAGTATCCGAAATTGAGAAGATTTTGTTCCGTTCGTCGCTAAATTTGCCCAAGCTACGATCAAACCATATTATTTAGAAAGAGAAATCTTTGTGAAAAGATGTAATCGAATTTGTTTTGGCGTACGAGAAGTTTGAGCGGAGATATTTGACTTTGAAGGCGATGCGGTCGTGCCGCCAGTGATTAGCCTTTTACTGTTATATTATATATAGATGAGCACACACAATGTAGGCCACAGAAAATGTTACATCAGCCGCTCTAAATGAGCTCATGGAGTAATTAAAAGAATGCAAAGGTATTATACTATCATGTCAACTATATTTTATTGTTAAAATGTATTTATTTGACTAATTTAAGAATGTTTTTAAAATAGTTTTGGTTGACTATAAATTTGTTTATAAAAACCGTTAAAAACCGCAACACCTGATCATTCATTCTGAGATTGGGCCGCCTGTGAACTGACATGTCAACTCTAGCATTTTCGTCCTTGATCGCGTAATTTTGATAACGGGTGAAAACGTTTGAAAACTCTTCGCCACGAACACAAAATACACAAATTAACTCTATTTTAAGTCTAATTATGAGTAACACTAAATGGTATCTGCTATAAGAGTTATATCCAGGGGCGAAACTAGGCCCTTTTAATTCGGGGGGTGTCTGCCAATTCCTGTTAAAACATGGCTTAAACCCCTATTTTTGGACCAATATAAATTCTATAAATTCCCTCTGAAAGCCCTGTAAATTACTTAATTAACTCAACTTTCTATCATTTAAAATCTTTGATTTATTCAAAACAATAAATAATAGTAATTTTTACCAACCTGAGCTCCAGGATATGATTATTCCTTGACCGACCTATTAATATCCGCAATTCCCGCCAAAACTCTCACGACTGAGTGCAATTCCCGCCAAAACTTTTACGACTGAGTCAGTACAGGACTGAGTCCATGTCATAGAGATTATAAATAACACTAGAGGAGGCATCGAGTTTAAAAATTGGGAACGCAGCTAATGGGGGGCAAATTCAAGTCCCGGATATAAAATCGTGCTTTCATTGGCTGATTTGAAACTCGTCACCAATGGGAACACGAATACACATCCGGGACTTGAATTTGCCCCCCAATAGTCGCGTTCCCTTTTTTTTTACTGAATTGAGATTACAATGCCTCCTCTAGTGTTATTTATAATCTCTATGGTCCATGTACCGTCGCTTGCAGGATGAACGGTCGTTGATAAAAACATTGCCTATTCGCGTGAACATCTTCGATATTTGTCAAGAGCACTTGACAGGTTCTGATCTGATGTTAATCTGTTGAACAACCAGATCCAAGCTTTGAAAGAGGGTGGGAAAGGGTATTTTCGTGAGCCGTGAATGGTCAATATTTGTTCGCGTGAAATCATGTGAAATGCTTGATTTTAGTGTCGTGAAATGTGATTTGTTCTACAGCCGTGAGGCGTGATTGTCGATAAAAATGCTCCGTGAAATGAGAATTAAAGTGTCTGTTTCGTGAACTGTGATTTTGCTTTGTTTATTTCGATTAGTATTTCGTAATCAGTCATAATAGACATGATACGCGATAATCAATTTATATGATCGATCTCACTCGATCGATTGCACAAGAGTAAAAACTTCGGAGGCTATTCGGTGGTCGTCGAACATACTCGTCACTCAAACTTTTTAAGTTATGATGTAGTTTTTAACTGCCAGGCAGAGAAGTGAGAGAACCGGCTTAAAGCGTATAGATACTGTACCATGCATTAAACATAATTAGTATAAACCTACTAATAGGCTATCACATATCGTGCCTTCTGATTGGCTACGCTACTAGTAGGCTATTAGTGATAGCCTACTAATAGAAAATTCAAAATGGCGGGAAATTCGCGTTTTGCACTTTTGCCGAAGTGTCTGATGATTTTTTGGACGACTTGTTGAACAATTCTGTACTAAAAACCCCCGAAAAAAGCAACAAAAATATGGAATGGCAATTTTTAAGGGTAAGAAAATAGACAAAATAACATACACTCAATGAAATTTTAAAATTAAAACTGAATTTTGTCAAACATTTTACGCGAACAAAAACTAAAATATTTGTTTACCTTTAATGGTTTTATAATGTTTTTTGTGTATTTTTATATTGTGTTTGCAGCCTAGTTGTAAATTAATGTTAAAGTTTATACTAAAACAATTAGACAACACGGCCTCGTTGTCTATGAGCAAATAGTCAACTCGGCTTCGCCTCGTTGACTATTCGCTCATAGACAACTCGGCCCCGTTGTCTAATTGTTAAATAAACCTATTATTATTATATTATTTTATTAGAATCTAGTTTTCCGTGAAATTGCATTTTTAAGACACGTGAATCGTGAAACGGCTTTTTTTTTCGTTGTGAAACGTGATCATACCCCCCCTTTCCCACCCTCTTGAAACCACCAAATGATCATAAATGATCATCAAAAACATTGAAGTTTCTCGGTAAAAACATTGAACTTTGTCATGAGAATAGACAATTATACTTTACTGCGACCGTTCATCCTTAGTGCATTCAGTAAATGAGTCCGCCTTTTACAAATTGCAACCCGCGATTTGTAAAACAATTTTCCCGGTCCAGTCCAGTCCGTGTTTTACAAATTCAGTCCGCGATTTGTAAAACACGGACTCAGTCCGCGTTTTCCCGGTCCAGTCCAGTCCGTCTTTTACAACATGCCCGAATTGGACCCAGTGAACTCTTGAGTTCACTGATTGGCCCATTACGCCGGAAACGTACTCAACCCACGCGAAAGTCGAAACCACACTCAACTGCTGTTCTCAACTGCAATCTTTCACGATCACTGTTCACGTCTTTCCGATGCTTCCCAGGCAGAGGTTCACAGTGTGAAAAACGACTGCATTCAGCACAGCGAAGACTCAGCATTAGTAATTACAGTGTGAAGTATATTGGCGAAAACAAAATGTACGATTAAAACATGGGTTTTTTGCATGGGCTTCGTGCTGTAGCTGTGTTGACGGGTAATACTAGTTTCATATTATTCATTTTATAAATACTCATTTTTCATATCTTCAATTTGATATACAATTGACCAAATATTAGCCAACTGAGCCAAGACAAGTTATGAAGGTATAAATATGTCGATTTTATTTCAACATCATACATGGACTGTTAGAAAAGCCCTGACGGGCTTGTTAGTCTTCCTTCCATATGAATTGACTGTAACTGTATAATGAAAAAATAAATATCTATATCAAATGGTTCTTATCGGTTTCATTTTGTATTTGTTTATTTTGTTAAAGCTTCTGGCTGATTCACACTCGGATACAACACGAAATCGCCTGGTCAAGCACTACAACAATGAGGTATAAATTCTTAAGTGAAATAATATAAAATAACATTTATAAATTTTATTTGGTTTGGCAGCTGAAAAGTTTATTGTCTAAAACTGGCGGAAAGATACTGGTAGTTTTTCAATTTTGTTGGAATTATCGAAGACCCGACACAAACGAAGAAGTCAAAGACGAGGAAGCATTGAAATCGAGCCAGTGGAGGTCTTCGATGCAAGTCATGCACGAAATGTCGAAACATATAATTGTTGTCATTTGTTGAATATTGGCTTTCAGAGGATTGGCTTCCTAGCCATGTCCTGTGATGCCCGCTATGCATGACGGTAGGTAGGAATTTGCAATCGAACGACATGGCCGACTGTAGGAGCGAGCGATTTTGTTTTTAAAATGAAATGGCGGATTTTTAACAACTTTTTGCATCCATCGATAACTTCTATCAACAGGAAAATAACAAGAGAGCTCTGAACTACATGTACATATAATTTCATGGCGTTACGTGTATTAATAGTGAAGAATATGCATGACAAAGGACGTGACCAGAGAC